AGTTTTGACTAGGCTTGTTCTTAGTTTGTGGCTTTGAACTAGATAGATCATGCTTTGTTGGTTTGGTGTCTATAAACATGATTTGTTTTGTGTTGTTGGTTCGGGTGGGAGAAACATGATTTGTTTTGTGTCTCTAGTGTTGAATCGGTTGTTGTCAATATGTTTTGTTAGGATACTATGGTTGTTTATGGGATGTTGGGGATATATGATCCAAACATTGTATGAATTTAAGTGTTAGTATATTTTGGTTGAGAATATAAGTTTTAATACATTTTGGTTGTTCATTAATCCCTAATGGCACTAAAAATTTGCACAAAACAAATAGAAAAACGCCAAAATTTTGAAACATAGTTATTTCGTTCATGAAATGACCAATACACCATAACATTTTCGTTGTTTATTAATCCCTAATGGCACTAAAAATTTGCACAAAACAACTAGAAAAACATTGGGATTTTGAAACATAGTCATTCCATTCATGAAATGACCATTATACCATAACATTACATTGTTTTGGAAGATACAAGTACACCATTACATTACATTGTCCATAAAATAAAAGAAATACTCTCATTGCATTCACAAATGAGATACATCCATTGCATTCACAAAATGGCCAACTACAACATTCAAATAATGGCCAACAAGTACATCTATTTCATCTAGTTTCAGTCATTACTTAAGCACACACATTACATTTAAAGAAGCATATAGCAATCAAACTATAGCATTTCTCAACTAATAATTGCCAACAACATGAGCCTCTCTCATTTCTTCCTTCTTGCTATATCTTCTTCCAACTTTTTTGGCAAAAGCCTAGGATTGAGTTGTTGTGCTCTATAACACCTTGGAGGGTCAACCCGAACATAGTATATGCACCCACCTATTATCTGGAATTCAGAAAGAAAAAAAAAAATGAGATGAATTGACAAAGACAAATGGCAATAAAAAAAATCCAAAATTAAATTGACAAATTGAAATGAAGAGAAGAAATTGAGTAACACTCACCCAGTATTTTTCGCATGTTGTCCTGCATTAACATCAGAGACCATGATGTCTTTCGCACAGTAGGCTTCCCACTAGTAACGGTCACGGCTCAACCCGACCCTGAATCTGCCCATAGTCAACGGGCCTTGAACCGAGCCCATCGGTTCTGGGCCACGAATTTGTAAATTTTGAACCATCGGGCCGGGTCTGACCCCGAGCATGCCAGACGATTTGGCCTTTTTTTTATCATTTTTATAACTTTCTTAAATTTGTAATTATTTATTATTTAAACTGGGCTAGCCCGAAACCGAAGGTTCAGTGAATCGGCCCGTGCCTACATCCAGGCCGGTTTCGGTTTCGTGTTTTCAAGCCCGGCGACCCGCCGAGCCAGGTACTCGCCATTTGGCCATGAATACTTCTCACAACAGCAGAAATCATCGATTAGTCCATCCAAATTGCCGAAACATTTTTTTGAATCGTAATTGGAAATCTCAGAACAACAGAAGGAGGAATTGGAGAATTTAGAGATAAGTTCTCTCGCAAACGACCAGGAGAAGAATATTTATATAAGACTCAAAACTCAGGTGAAACTGTACTTAAACCTGCAATGACCGTAACTTGACAAACCCCTATAGTTCATGTGGTGGTTTACCAAAAAAAAAAAAAATTATATGGTGATGGGTTAAAATTGTGATAGTTCGATGATTTTTTTTTTTTTTAAAAAAAAAAATAAAAGCAACTAAAAATGAATAAAAATAAAAAAGTAAATAACAAAAAAGAGTAAAATACATTTTTCGTCCTATATGTTTACCCCTCCAAACATTTTAGTCCTTTTCGAATTCGTTTTTGATTTTCGTCCCGTACGTTTGAAAAAAGGTTACAAAAAGGTCTTTTTCATACGTAAGGGATGAAATTGGAATACCTTATTGCAAAACATAAAAGACCTTTTTATTGCGAAAAGGACTTTTCTGTAATATTTTTTTCAAACATACGGGACGAAAATAAAAAACACAATTGGAAAGAGGACTAAAATGTTTAGAGGGTAAACATAAATGCCTCAAGCCTCCCTCTTCCTGTCACCTTCTCCCGCTCTGTTCCTCTCTTCTGGCCTCATCACCCACCACTTGTCCGACCTCAATATTCAACCTCCCTATGACTCTACAGTTCTCAGTTGTTTACCCAACACTCAAGGGCCAAAACCCCCAAAATTTCTCAAAACCCTAGGTATTTGTTCATTTTCGTTTTAGCGATTGTATTTAATTTTTGTCATAGAATTGCGGTGTAAAGAGTTAAACAACACTCAAAGACCACACAATCATTTGGCGTTGAATTTAGGGCAAAACAAATTTGTATTTACCTCATGATTGATACTACGATCATAAGTGGCTTTAGAATCTCGTTTTGTCATGGTGACAGAAACTAAGGATGATGGAGCATTTAGTCGGCGATGCTGTCTTCCTCTTGCACACATTATTGTAGCTCAAAGTACGTGTTTTTTGATCTTGACTTGCTATTGAGATTTTGCAGCATGATATTTCAGCTACATTAGTTAGTAATTTGCTAAACTATAGCGGTTAATTTAATCGGGTTTCTTATCCTAAGCAGATGTAATCTTGAGTGGCGTTTTATCGTGGGATTGCATGATGTTCGAATGGCTTCTGCTGGACCTTATTTCAAAAGCCAACTTCGCGTATCGATTTTTTCCATATCAGGTGATGGGAATTCGCTTACCTTGCATACCATGATCAAGTAAGAGACTGTAAATACTTTTATGTCACCTGCCATTTGTCTACTGTGATTAAGTTTTCATGCCATCCTTATTTCTACAGCAGGTTAACGTTGGGTAGTTTGGTAAAGGTAGTAAATAAGTTGAGATGGCTACTTGTTTGGTTTATATCTCTTTATAATTACACAGTTACCAATTGTGAGCAGAAATTAATGCTATTCCTTTGAGCTTATGGGCTTGATTAGCTTATTAGGAACTATGAAAATTTTGTTTTCCTTTTTAGTTATATAACTCTGAAATTCAATCTGGTAAAGTTCTTATTTCCCCAAAAAGTGCGAACATGTCAGAACTGCACCATTTACTTTATTTCTAGCTCTTGATACTTATAATATTCTCACAGTAGATCTTTACAATTATTTTTTATGTTTGCAGTTAAATTAGTCGCATGAATAATGAGGCTTAGTTTTGGGCTCCTAGATTTGTCATCCTAATTAATTGTGAATTAGGCTTTAGTTGAGCTTCATCATGTTCCTCTGAACCTTTTGCTCAAATTGTGAATTAAGTAAGTTCCAACATTTAGTGATTGATACAACCACATCTTGAGCACTATGGTGACACCCATCTTTCTTAGTTTATATTTTCTGAATGGGCATTATATTTATCTCGTCGAATATCTCCCTTATTTATCATTGATGGTTAATGACTTGTATGTTGGAAACAACTCAAAAATTAAATGGTAAATAGATATTAATGTATCGAACTTGTTAACTAAGATTGTATTCATATTAAGAAGTAAATTAACATTTTCACAGTATATTCATTGCATCTGGAATGGAAACTTTTTGTCATTAATATTTGGCTGTAGTATTAAGTATTTTTTCTTTGTTGTAGTTCTCGATATCAGTAAACAAATTTGTTCTCAAGTTATATTAGTCGTGAGCCCGTGCCATAACATTGCTTACTATAGTATGAGGCAAGTTTCAAAAAGTTCATTTGCCAATATGGTTAGTGATGGTCTTAAAGCAACAAGATACACATCGAATTTACTCTTCAAATTCTAGTTACGAGGAAGGATACTGGCAAAGACGAAGCTACATGCCCCCCCCCCCTCCCCGCTTCTAATTTTTTATTAAAAAAACCAATATATATATGTATATATACACAGACACACACAAAAAAATATTTTATATATGGAAATGTAGAAAATATTTATAATTTATTTGTAGTTAAAACTTATTTCCTATGCTATTTTAATTTAAACTAATAATATTATTTATTTATTAAAAAAATGTACTAACAATTCTTATATTTAAATCTCTACTAAGATTTTGAAAATATTTACAATGATTTACTCTTTCGGTTTCTTAATTGTAAATCGATTTAGTGATTTATAAAACCTAGTATTTAGTTGGATTGTTACATTTTTTTGAATGTTGATTTTTTACTTTTTTTTTGTGTAATAACATATTTTTAACCTTATTTTTGTTTTTTTTAAAAAGTGTTCGTTTGATAAGCTCTCAACAAAATGTTATGCAATGTGCTGCAAAAGTTCAATTTAAATCAAATTTTCAACCAATATTATATTTCCATAAATTATAGATGTTGAACTTAAATTATACATACATGAAATCTCATTTTTTTTTATTTTTTTAAAAGTTTGAGGGCCGGGATTCCCTTCTTTCTTTGTCTGATTCGAGTTTTTAAATATGGATTTTGACTTTTTAAAAACTTAGTGGTACACACGTCTATACTTATATTTATAGTAAACATATTTTTATATGAAAGGAATGTTTCGACTTAAACTACAAGTTTATTATTTAACATTCAAAATCGGCCCCCCCTGAGTAAAATTTCTAGATCCGTCACTGAATGCCGATGTTAGCAAGGAAAATTGTGTCTGCTGAATTGCAATTTCCTTGCTTTTACATTAGACTAGAAAAAAAAAATTCTTTATTTATTGATAGTATTTTAATATATTATTTGAACATTTTGTTTGCTTATGTGTAGTACTTGAACTTTTTGACTAAACTTACTGTTATTTATGGTAAAAAGGTATGTTTATTTTTTTCAAAGGCATCAGAAGACAGCCTCACGTCAAGTGTGCATATTTTTTTTCTAATGTTACAAATAAATTAAGTTGGCGATGACTGAATGAGGTATTAGAAATTTCGTAACAAAATGTAGTAATAATTACACAAATTTGGCCTGAGAGGTTGAATATTGGGAATATTGCCACAATACTAGTAGCAATAATGAGAATTGATTTTCGCTCACCATAGATGGTTCAATTAATATAGATGACTAGCATTCTGTGTCTAATTATGAAACATATCTATATTTAAATTTCCACAATTAGTTAAGTTATTTGATTAGGGCTTTTGCTTAGGGACCCTAATTTGTTTTATCTATGTAGCAGGATTTAGGTCTCTTAAGCCATTGAGAAAAAGAATAGAGGAGCCTTTGGCTTAGGCAGGAGAAATCCTGATCGGCGTTCACGCTTGGGCTAGGCTCGCCTGCAATTGTTATGGGTTCTCTTCTCGTTTCTTTCGTTTACAGTTAATTATCAATTTCAGGAATTTCTTCTTGCAGTCCGCTCTTCACTCTATCAAATGACCCCTAGTTTATAGAAAATAGGAGACCGGATTTTCTTATTTTCACTTAAACTGAAAAGGAAAAAAAAAATTCAAATCACATTTAGCTGGGCCTGCCCCTTTAGGCACATACTTATCAGATTCCAAATTAGATTTGAATGTGTATGTTGAAGTTCACTACATATGTAATCTTATAGCATATTTTTAAGGAAAGTACCCCTAATAACCAAAGCAGAATCTTGTAATGAAGTCGTATTAATATACCTGCTTTTTGAGGAATTACATATTATATTTGAATGTTAACAGTAAATATACAATCTTATATTCAAATTCAAAGTAAAATATATTTACAACCAGATTGGACTGATTCAAATAACAATTAACTGTGCCTGCTGCTTTTGGCATATTCATATCATATTTCAGTAACACAGTTAACAGTCGTTAAATTTGCAATTCGATACCCTCTCGTGTGAATTATCATTTAACTAATTCACATTTCCTATGCTATAGAGAAACATAAGTACAGTCTCACACACATGATTTTCAACTATTCCAAGATAGATTTGTAAAAATTCATGAATCCTTTTTGTTATTGAGCAAACCACGAAAATTAGAGTCCAAAAAAAAAAAAAAAAAATGAATGCGAAAAAAGTTAAAGTAGGGACGGGGAAGAAGATAGATGATGACCTGCTCAGTTCTTTGCCCGACGACATGCTTCACCACATCATGTCCCTTCTTCCTGCCAGGTCTGCCGCCTCAACATCAATTTTGTCCCAAAGATGGGAGAAGCTCTGGCTTTCATTCCCTTCTATCAACCTGGACGAAATAAATTTTGCAAGCAGACAAGAATTCTGGGACTGCTTGAGATCTACCTTGGCTAATCGTGACTTGTCTGCTCTGCAGAATCTTTGCCTGCGGATAATACTGCCCGGCACTGCTCGATTCTATCAGGATTTTTGTAAGTTTTTGAACACAGTCTTGGTAAAAAGTAAAATACTGAAGGAACTGGACATTGAATTCTCTGAACATTTATTTTTTGTGTGGAGGCAAGAGGATCTGCTGTCAGAAAGAATTTGTGTTCTTCCCAAAAAGACATTTCATTCGATTTCGCATCTGAGTGTTCTTAGCCTCAAGGGTTGCAGAGTCAAAAGTTGTCCACATGTCAACTTGCCTTCTCTAAAGACCCTTTTGATGGAAAACGTTATACTGGCTGAAGAGTTCTTAGAGGCATTGGTAAATGGATGCCCGGTTCTTGATACGATGTCGGTAAAATATTGTTTCGGGATTAAGAAAATCCAGATTTGTCACCCCACACTCAAAAATCTCGTAATAGGTCTTCGGATCAGTCTGGAATCTCTCGAGCTAAACGTGCCATGTCTAAAGTCAATTAAGTTATTTGCACTCGTGGACTCAGAAATTGATGGTCTCGAAGAAATTTTGGGACCCAATAACTCTAAGAAAATCATAGCCAGAAATCTTGAGGCATTGTGTTTCAAACATTTGACCATCGAGCCCAAGGTGCTGCACAATGTCATTCTCATCTTCCCAAACCTGGGCAAGCTGGCTGTAAAGTTTTGCGAAGTTTTGGATAGTGCCCGGTTACATTCGCAAAACCTAACAATTTTGAAGATAACTGATTGTGTGTTGTCGGATGAGGTCGACATCAGGGTACCTAATCTTCAAAACATTGACTATCTACAAAATCCAAAAGGAGCGCAATTGGACTATATGGCTTTCATGCATCTGAGAAGTATCTCTCTCGACGGCATATATGTCAACTTTAGGGTTATATATATCAGCAATTCAATCTGCCCTAATCTCGTCTACCTGAGGCTTGCTTTCTGCATGAACATGACGCAACTGAGGGTTTCTAACGATAAATTGGAGTCCCTGGAGGTGTACGAATGTGGGGACTTGGAATGCTGCTTAATAGTGGCCCCCCAGCTGTTGGCTTTCTCATACACGGGGCACTTGGTGCGCGTGGCCCGCTTTCGTGCCTCATGCAACCTGAATGTTATGCTGCATCTGAATGAGTCAGAAGGTGATGACGAGCTTGTTGAGGCACAGTTCATTAAAGTGTTAAAGGAATCCTTGCACAATGTGAGCATGGCTGCTGCACGGACTGATATTAAGCTGAGTTATAGGTGTGCCAAGGTATGTTATGGCGACTATATTTCTCAAGTGTGTGTGTGTGTGTATTGTTTGTGCGTGTTCATCTGTAGTCGTTGTTGCTATTTATGATTATTGCAAACCACAGTTAAGTTGACCAATTTTGGGTAAGTTGTGACTCTACTATGACCACAGTTGCGACTCAAAAGTTATTATCCACGGTTTATGTGCAAGTATGGTTTCCTAACTCTAGAGGTGGCAAAAATAGCCTGATAATAACATGAAACAAATGGTGGTGGTTTTTGGACGCTTATTATGGTCTTTATAGTTTGAATAGTGTATTAGTTAGGTGGATTGTTATTGCCCAGGCAATTTGAGGCGGTGTCAGGAGGTTTGAAATAATTTCTAGATGCCCACTATGAAATGATTTTTTTTCTTTTTTTTTTCCGGCAAGTCATTGCTAAAATAGGAAAAAAAATAAAATCACTCAGTTGTTACATGACGGGGGAATGTGTAATTTACTATTGGATTCGTCGTGGCTACTTCAAATTTGGTTGTGATTTGATGTATATAAAGTCCTTGTTGTATATTTCTAAAGATGATATTTTCAGTTTGTTGCATAGTAAGTGTTTTGTTTTATTGATGAATTAGCAAACAGATGTTGCACTGTTGGTAAATTTTATTTTCAGTTACGAGAATTAATCTACATGGTGCTTTCTTTTAAAATATGTGTTGTACTCTTCACAATTCACTGCTAACGTTTGTTTGATGTTCTTAGGAAGACAACTGTAGGTTGCAAGTTCTTGTTTTCAGAGACTAAATGAAGATTGATACTCCTAGTTAGACATTCTAATGAGGATTGAGTAATTAGTACTGATTGGATAGATTAGTTGTGCATCAAATAGTTATAGTAATATTTCACTTAGTTTACCCTGTTGGATTTGATAATTTAGCATAACTAATTAGATGTTTTATATATATATATGTGTGTCATTATACAATTGAATTAAATAATTGTTTAATTAATTCATAATTCGAAGTTCAGCCCAGCATGTGTCTGGGAAGGCACCTTTTAAGCCAAGGTGAAATATTTAAATTGTAGCATTATCTTTCTATCTTGGGAGGATAATAATATTTTTGGTGGACATTAGAATAAATGGAAACTAGTCCAACTCAAACCAGTCATGTTATCCATGATTTTTTCTACGTTGAACTCTTGGATTTTCTCATTCATCACCAAATATGAAACTCTCAACTAGATTGGTTATGAATATGGAGAGACTCAATTGAACTATATTTTTTATCCACGTTTGACGTTTCACAAAATAAATAAATAAATAAAAATTCAAGCATTCGACTACATCATGAATAACATAGTAAGTGCGAGTAGTGAAAGCATTTTAACATTGCAGACTTGAATAAAAAACTTTTTATGTAGTTTTTTTTTTTTTTTTTTCAATCAAGTTTCAACTTTCTCTGGAACGACTGTGCCATGCAATATTTGACAGTTATTTAGTAAAACATTATGGCACATGTTATTTCAAATACATTACGTGTGACAAATAATTTTATGCGTCGTTTTACTTATTTTGCATGTCATTACCTAAATAAAGCAGGAATGAGATGTTAGAGATCCTTTGACTAGAACATACACGACATTTCGTTAAATTTACCTCATCCTCGTTGTTCTCGCCTTTTCTTGAAAGACTGCATGTCCTGTTAGCCATTGGTTATTTCGTCACTTGGTAAAGAGATAACTCCACTAAATCACTTGTGCATGGTTTCTATGATTGTTCTTTCTCACGTTCGTACGGACTGCATCCTTCATAGCCCATAATCAATATGGTGTATAGTATTTTGGAGATCTGTTGCTGAATTCTCATGAAACTATTGGCTTAACTGCCTACGGAACGCATCCATTCATAAAATAATTGAAATTTATGTTGCCTAATGATTAGTTGGATTTTTATGCTAATCTGTCACAACTCCTCCACTGCGAAATTTGTCTTTCAATATATAATGACGAATAACCAACGAGAAATGATTTGTGCAGTATTTCTTGTGAATTGTTGGTAATTAATGACAGAATATGTGGGTTGAAAAAAAACAACTGAAATGTCTGTCAGAAAATTATCTGAATGGATTTATTTGGATATTTGGTTGGAACATTTGCTGGGGAGTTTACTTGTCGATTAGCGAGAGAATATTATATGTCTTTATTGGTGGTCTGTTGTGCTGTTTTAGTGGACTTGACCAATCTTTCTTGCTTTTTTTTTTTTTTTTTTTTTTTT